TTTGTTAAAAAAAAAAAGATCAGATTAGGTACGATTTTCATTTATTTCGTTTTCTTTAGGAACAACAACGTAAGACCCTGCCTGAGCCGAGTGCTGAAAACCTGTTGGAGAGGTTACCTTCATTACAGCAGCTTTTATATCGGCTCGTTTGTTGCCAGGTTAAAAAAAAAAAAGGATAATTGTATATGTGAAATCGTGTTATTTGTTTTTAGTACTTTTGTTTTTCTCAAACATATAATTTATTCTTGAAAAAAAAAATAACATTGCAGCCTGAAGGAGCAGCTCGTCACAACTTTGTCGTCCAATATGCTCTGGCTCTGGTTCGTAAAATACTTTAAAACTAATTGTTTCTTTAGTGTTTTAGATTTTTCGCCATAGCTAAACAGCTTATATATATAGCTTCTTGCTTTTTTTTTTTTTTTTTNNTAATTTGACACAGGTTGTGAAAGAGAGCTTCAAAGTGTACTGTGCTATCAATGATGGGATTATTAATCTTGTCGACATGGTAAGAACATTTTTCGTAGCACACTACTATATATATCCCTCGAATAATATCTAAAGAAAAGTATAATTCATTGCAGTTTTTCGAAATGCCTAAACACAATGCAGTCAAAGCTCTTGAGATATACAAAAAGGCCAGTCGACAGGTTCGTGTCTTATAATCTCAGTTATGGTTTCAAATCAAATTCTCAACATAAGCATGCATGTTAAATACATATATTTGTTGAATTATAGTCACGATTAGTAGCTGACCTTTTTTTCGTTGTTTTGTCTTGATCTTGTGACTCGTTTAGGCAGACCATCTAGCCGATTTTTACGAATTTTGCAGAACTTTGGATCTTGCACAGACCTTTCAGTTTCCTACATTGAGACAGGTTTTTTTTCAGCGTCGATAAATTTTTTTGGTTAAAAATGCGATATTTAACGATTGATTTTTCCATAATTTTTTCAGCCTCCGCCATCTTTTCTTCTAACTATGGAGGATTATATAAAGGAAGCTCCCCCGGCTGGTTCTGTGCCACGAAAAAAACAGGTCGAAAAACACGAAACTGATTATGTTTTTCTTTTTTTCTGCCTTTTTTTTTTTCTTGTAGCTTGCTCAAAAAATGAAAATTTTACAGCTAATGAACACCAATATATTATGTTCTGTTCTTAGTTCATGTGAATTCGTATATCATTGATTTTTCTTGTTCGAGCCACATTTTTTCCTAGTAATTTAAACCCGTGACGTTTATAATATAGGAGGACCAAGAGAAGAAAGAGGAGCCAAAAAAACCCGAAGAACAAGCACCACAAGAAACCGAAAAACGAGTGAATGAAGTCGAAAACAAAGAAAAGATTGTTCGTCCGCAGGAGGAACAAATCATGTCGAAGACTCAACCACCCGAACCTTCTGTGCAGCCTGTCGATCTTCTAGTATGCACTTTTAAGTTTATTTTAATTGTTCGCTAAAATTTAGCCGAGGGATTTCTTTTGTAACCTTTCACGTGAATCTTGTGAAGGGCTTGGATGAGGTGAACCAGAAAGCCGATCAGTTGGAGGAAAGCAATGCATTGGCCCTTGCAATCATTCAGCCAGGTAAAAAGTCATTTGCCTCTGAATAGTCTTAAGAAAAAAAAAAACGAAAAAACGAGAAAACCGTGATTTGGTAATAATAACAACAACGATAAGTTATATATAGTTTCTTTACTCGTGGGACGAAAATCGGACTAGAAACAAAATTGGAAGGTAGAAGCATTTCTCCTCTTATTCTCAAAGCAGAACTTGCCATTTGAAAAAGAACAAAAAAGAATGAAAATTTATCTAAGTTGACAATCATCACTTTCTTGTGAATTTTATCATATTATTGAAATTGTGTTGCAGGCAATGATGCACCACAAGCTAATAATAATGCGTTCGGGAGCACTTCAGGGTGGGAGCTTGCGCTCGTAACGGGACCAAGCAACATGAATAAGCCTCAAGTAGCCGAAACAAAAATGGTTCGTCCTTACTTCAATCACGATTTTCACATCGAAAAAAGTCCAAAATCTTCATTTTCGATCGTTTTTAATCGCACATCGACTAAATGTATAGGCTTATCCTAGTTAATGATTACTATCTTTCATGGCGATCTTTTTATACTCGAGAAACTAAATTTACTGTGTTACTTTGTTACCGTCGTGTTTGCAACTTAGGCGGGTGGTTTCGACAAATCATTGCTCGATAGCTTGTATGAGGATGACACGTCTCGCAGACAACTTCAGCTGCACAGCGCGGGATATAGCACGACGAGCTACAGTTACGAAACAACCACACAAACATTGTACGACCCGCGGGCCCCATTTCCCATGCATAACAATGTTGTGAGTCCAATCGACACGCACACGGCCATGATGCCACATCACCATCATCATCAGCATCAAATGGCCGTGCAACATCATCATATGATGATGCAGCAACAACCGAACATGATGATGATGATGGTACCACATGGTAATGGGTATAACGGCGTCCAGTATCATTACCCTCAACAACAACAACAACAACAAATGACGAACATGGGATCGTCAAACCCGTTTGGCGATCCCTTTGGTGGTTATCCGCAGAGTACAATTCGCCCACCATATGGAAATCATACCTTGCTTTAGGTGTTTGAGGTCAAATTTTCTTAAATTTGTTGTTTGGAGGATGTCATTGCAATTTAAGTTGTGTATTTACATGTGTTGGGGACTTTATATTTGTATGGAGTTTTACTATGGAATGCTTTTGAGATGGTTTTTGTTGTGTGTGAAAGGGGGATTATGAGAAATGAACTTACATTGGGTGTATGAGTTGCAAAGTTTGAACATATTTATATGTGTGTAAATGCTGTAGTTGTTAAATATGAACAAAATTGGGAGACTTTTGATGGAAAATGTAATGTGTGTGCTGCAGTTGAATTTTTCTAAAGGTAAACAAAACAAGCATTGCTTCAAATTGGAATACAAAAATATCAGTAAAAGGTTTTATTAGACACATTTTCAACAATAGACATATTTCTAAATTAAAATGTCATACTGTAAAATATAACATAAGCAAAAGTATGAGAATTTCATAGAATAAATATAAATTTTATTAAAAATATATGACGGATTGAACCTCCTAATGATTACGCCACTTCATGTCAGAATTTGTGTAACAATAAGACTTCTATTAGGCCGTCTAACGGTTAGTCGGTTATACTTTTTCATCACATATACATATTCATGTAAACAAAAGTATGACATTTTATAGAATAAATATATATATATAAGTATGATGATCGGCTCGCTTAATGATTAGGTCAACTCATACAAGTATTTGTGTAAGACTTCGATTAGGTAGTATGTAAAGCACATACTTCCTAAGAAACAGGAGGTCACCTATTGATTTTGGCTTCCCAAATTAAAAATTTAAAATAACTCAATATAATAATTAATATTTATTATTATATAATACAGTTATGCATATTTAAAATAAAATATTTAGGCAACCTAATTAAAATAAATAGGTAAGAAAAAATTATTAATTAGTAATACATTCTATTACTTAATTTGGGATGTTACGAGCATGTTTGTTTATAAAAATTTTCAAAAAATTTCTAACATTTTAACTCAACTACTTTTTTTAACACAACTTTAACTCAACTCAACTATCATCAATATTATCAATATAATTAAAATAATATCAATCAATCATTTATACACACCACATCAACCTTAATTCACTATTCATTCACTCACATTATTTTAACTAAGCATCACATCAAATAAACTCTCTCATACTTTTCATCAAATCAATTTTAATTATTTTATTTTAATTATTATTTTAATATATCCACTAACAACTAACCATACCACCTTTTTCAAAATTAACTAAACCAAACCAAAAAATTTAAACAAAACAAAAAATTTCTATAAACAAACATGCTCTACATAGTCCAATGGCTAGGTAGTTATATTTCTTCAGCATATATATATATTTTCAAACTTAAACATGATAATCTATTTAATAATATCAATCTCATGACATATATGCATACTTTCAAACTGAAATATGATACTCTAATATGCACAAATATATGATATTTCACAGTATAAGTGTTTGCCCAAAAAAAAAATATGACTGGTCGATTCGACTACCGATTAAGTCAAAAATTGAAATGAGATACTTCAATTAATAATCTGAGTAAAAGTATAACATTTCATAATAATATATTTTTGGATAGATTTTAGAATACAAGAAAAACAATGCCCGAACCGACACGACCCGAACTCGTTGACCATTGTCAACCAATGAACCTTCGCTCTTTCTTTATCCACATCCCAAAATACAGCTCTGCTCTTTATTATATTAGAAAACACGCACTTCCAACAACTTCCATCTTCTTCTCTCTAAAAAACATATCCGATTCACATTTCCGCCGGCAGTTTCTCTCTCTGGATTCCATCACCAAAATTCCAATCGATCATGGCGATGTCCCGGATCCTTTCCTACTCCCTGCATCGATCTTCCCCCCTCTGCCCGCCGGCCGCCCTAACCAGCCACCGCCGCCACCGCTCGAGCAAGAGCCGCCGCGGCGTCCAGCTGGCCGAGGCGGCCGAGATCGAGCAGTCTCCAACAGATTCTCCAGAGGCGGCCGCGGAGGTCATCACCCTCGGCATGAAGAAGCTTGAGGACGCCATCCATAGCATCATCGTGCGGCGATCTGCGCCGGACTGGCTGCCCTTCCTCCCCGGATCCTCGTACTGGGTCCCGCCACGATCCTCCTCCTTGCGCGCCGGCCGCGCCGACCTGCACCACCCTGCCAGGAGCCTGGTCGACGTCATCGGGAAGCTGTCCGCTGCGAGGGCGAAAAGGAGCCAGGGATTATCAATTGATGTGCTGTCGGAGGATGAGAATATGGCGTTTACTTCAGCCAAGGGCTGGCCGGCCTCTTCTTTTTATATCGAAGGTAAATTCGGGTTCCATGAGTCTGGGTTTGTGTGCTTGTTTTCCGTTTTTTGATCGAACATATCCAATTGTGGTTGTGATTTAGGGCATTTCTTTTCCAGATCAAGATTGGTGGGTATTGAATTTGGTTAGGTGGATTTTGGATTGTAGATTTGTATCTGTATTTCGTGATTGCATCTTATTGTAATTGAACTTGTTTAGATAATCTCATGGCTTTAGCTCCTCAATGAATTGCATCTTATTTCGTGATTGTTTAGATTTGTATCTGTATTTCGTGATTGCATCTTATTTCGTGAATCCTTCTTTTTTTGTTTCAATTGGAGTCTCCTGGAATTTGTTTTTCCCCAAATCCCATCTGAAGTCCAAATTCTGCATGCATTTGTAAACCTGGTAGATTAAATTGCCCGTGAAACGAAATTGTTGAATTTCACTTACACCCTTGATGCGTAATTTAATTGGTTCTTTGTTAGCCGAATTAGAAATGTCTTCAAAGGGTATGTGAAAAATTGCATAATCGAAATATGAAAATATTCAACTTTGTTTCTTCATTTGGAGTCAAGTTACAACCATTGAAACAAAATCGTTGAATTTCACTTACATCCTTGGATGTGTAATTTGATGGATTTTCTCGAAAGGGGCGAATATGTGAAAAGTTGAGGAATCGAAATATGAAAATATTCAACTCTGTCTGTTCATTTGAAGTCAAGTTACAACCATAGAATGAAAGTTTGGAAGTCTATGCCATGATTTGAGCAACCAAAGTCTAGTGTTGACTTGATTACATTGCCATGACTTGATTATGCTGCCAAAACTTCATGGAATAATCCACGACCATGTAAACTTTTGGTCATTCAAAATCTCTGTGCTTCAGCTTTCTAACCATCCTTGCATTTTTGTGTATTTACTTCCCCCAAGATCTCGCACATTTGCGTTATTGTATACAATTGAACCTTATCAATCGTATTCTGCAAGTGATTTTTGGTTAACCAAAGTTTACTTTATGCCGTAATTATATTGAAGCTTTTTGTGCTGTATGGTCAGAACACAGAACAAGGACAGATATTAGATAAACGATATGTTGGGTGGACAGATTTTGATGCCAGTTTTTTCTTTACTGCAGGGACTTCACCTGTACATCCTATCCCAGTTGTGGAAATTGAAGCAAAATATCAAGATGATGACGAAAAAGAAAACTCATCCAGCTCCGAAGATGAGGATGACAAAGTAAAGTTTCAATAAAATCTGAAATCTCTTTGGGTGAGTCAAGTTCAGGATAAATACTTGATTTAATTCTCGTCTCTAGTGATATGAGGCTCGAAAACCCCTTTTGGCCAAAAGCGATGATTTCTTTTGCCCTAATTGTGTACTTTTACAGGACTTTTACCATTGTACATATTGAGAGCGTGGCATAAGGTAAGAGGAGAATTTAGGGTGACGAGTTGCAGAGCAAGTAGATGAACCTCATTGTACATATGCAGTTGACTTTCTCAGGTTTTCAACTTCATATGGCTGTATGAATTGCGGTTTGGCCGCTAATGCTTGCCTTAAACAGAGACGTTTGTGTGATTTGCAAATGATGTTTTCTTTAGCCATTAGGTGTAGGTTATTTTACTGGGCAGTTGATTTGATTGTATGTTTATGGGAGTAATTAAGTTTATCATCCAACATTTGGACATGGTTTGTGTTTGTTTCACCTTCACTGGTTTCTTTTGATTCTGGACAACTGGTTAATTTTGATTTTGAAGATTTATTCTTCACTATTTTTTTATTATTATTTTTTTTTTTGGCCAATCTATCTATTCTATCTATATCTATACTATTAT